ATGCTTACTTTCAGGCGCTTCACATCACTCCCCTTTCTCTTGATTTTTAAAATTTAAATCCATAGTTACTATAGACAAATACAGCACAATAAACTTAAATCTATCGTCGGTATAACCTAATCTACTATTTCAGTGTCCAGTACTAAGAGAAAATAACTACATGTTAGTATTACGAACTTAATTATTCTTCTGTTACGCATAACAACTCATGTGGAGTCTTACCCTCTTTAGTAATTATCTTATAATATTTCTGTTCCCGACATTTACTTTCCAATAAGTGAGCTCAATTTATTTAGTTTTTGACAGGTTAACAATTGAATTAATAATGTTTAAAATGTAAGTATGAAATAGATATGATATTACTAGTTGTAATGCTTACTATCTTCCCCTTTGTTTGTTTTTATTGCTTTCATTGTTTTAAGATTTTTACTTTGCACTTCATTATTTTTAACTGCATATAGTCGTTTGGAATACCATAGGCGCTCAATCTATCTAAAGTCCTTTTTATTATATCTCATGTAATTGTATTTTTTTGTGTGAGCTGATTTATTAAGCTATTATGTCTCATGTAATATTGAACAAAGACTCAGACAAAGAATCCACATTAAATTTTCTTTTAATTGCTTAATATAAGAGCAGATAATCCTCATCGTTAGCGTTTTGAACTAAAGAACTGATGTGGTGATATAGTTTATATATAAAATATATAATAATATAAAATATTTTTTTATACATTTTTATTTTCAAAACTTTTGTTTATTGTCAAATTCTAGTAGATTAGCATGGAAAAGGCTATTATTTTTTTGTCTTAGTCTCTGTGATATGTTTGTAGTATAGAGGTTATTCTAGCGATGGCTTCCAATTTATTTACAAACATTTTAAATTTAATAAAACTTTTTTACTTTTTTATTTTTAAATAAATATTTTGGAATTTTCTGTAACTATTTAGTTCAGAAATCAACCATATATATTTTAAAAGCAGAAAAATATGCAACATATTATTAAAAAAAAAATCTATGTAATACTCCCAAAGAAATTTAATAGTAAAAACTTGATAAACCTATTTCCGTAACTTACAGCATATATTAAGATACTTATTTTTAAAAATATGTGGCGTAAGTGTATAATATATATTTCATAGTAATAATTTTTTTGTAATAAGTAAATATTTATTACAGCATGAAAACTCAGATAAAATGTAAGCGTTTCTATATTGACTATAGATCATTAAATTATTAACGGTATAACGCCAGTGACGTATTCAGGGCGGGAGGACAGGGTACTGTCGTACTTTGAGAATATAACTTACAGCTAAGTCCTTACTTTATCATATTTTCTATATGTTAGATAATGCACTGCATATACAATGGCAAAAAGCAATATTTTCTTGTATATCCTCACTACCTCAGTACAACCATAGCCACGCTACTGGATAAGACTATTAGTATTTTATTTGAAAACAATATACAATAGATTAAAGGATTTTAAAACTAAATACTTTTATTAACTAATGTAATGTAGTGTAATGTATATGAAATTCTGTCAAAAAAACCAAGCTGCAATCAAATAATGGATATTGGTGTGAGATATATGGAAAGGTGATGCTTTCATTTAAGATACCTTTAACTCACCTAATTAGTTAAATTCTTTTTAAATATTATTAGTATAAATTAATATTTCAAATGAATAATGTTAAATTTAATTATTAAATAAAATCAACGATCAATTTACTACGTTATATATATATATATATA